GGCGAGAGTCTCCTGCGCGGGGTTAGTGATTCACCGCCGCGGTAATTAACGGGCGAGACGAGGCATTCATTAATCAGCCGGAGCTGCCCCCCAGTCCCGCACCTCCTTGCTCCCTCACTCGGCACCCCGACCCAAAGCAACCCGGTCCCCTCTGCAGGGGTGTGGGATGGCTGCGGGAGTTTAAACAAAGTCCTTGATAAATCACTTCGTGCCCCCCTCCCCTTCGCTGTGGCATCCAGGCTGTGATGCCCACAGAGCTCAGGACCCAATTCAGAACGGGGTTCCCATCCAGGAAATGGGGGGCACCTCCCTGCCTGGCCCCCCTGCACCTGCCTGAAGGGAGACAGTCTCCTGCAGCCCCTCCTGCGTTCCCTCCCCCGCACTGCGGGACAGATCTCCCACCCTCGTCCCGATGCACGGGGTCGGTGTGTGCTCACCCTGCAGAGGGGCAGCCGGTGCCTCCTAATTAATCCAGCCCTGAGTTATTAAAGACAAGACGAGCCCTGTGCAAATGAGATTAGTGGTGCTTGGAGCCGGGCTTTGGGATAACTGATGTTTAATGGTGAGGTTCTGGAGAAGCAGCCCTTCAGGGGCCCAGAAGAGTGCTGGAGAGGATCTGAGTGTGGGGCCCTTTCAGGGACCCCCTACCCCTACACCTGGGAGGGTGTGGGGAGCTGGGACAGGCTGCAGCTGCCCCCACAAGCACAGTAGTGTGGGCTGTGGAGATGCTCCTGGTGCTGCTGGGCACTGCCAGGGCTGCTGCAGGGAGGTCGAGAGTGATGCAGGATGTGGGGCAGCAGTGGGGAGCCATCCTGCAGCTGGGGGGCCCAAAACTGGCGTGCAAGCGCCACCTCCACAGGGATGCAGCACTGACAGATCCGTTTGTGTGCACCCTGTGCTCCTGCCTCGATGCATGGCAGCTGCCACGGACAAGTCTCAGCACAGGGACAACACACCAAGGACTTGGCCCTCTTGTTCACCCCCTCTCACTGCTCCCAAAAATACCCCCTGGCGTAGCAAATCCCCATCAGCTCTGAGCCCTCAGCCTGGCATCGGCCAACAACTCCTCTTTCCACCTCCAAAGTAAAAATGCCTCCTGCCCTTGTGCCCAGCCCCACTCTGCCCGCTGGCAGCTGGTGGGACAGGCATGTGGGCGGCAAGACAGGCCTGTGCTTGGCCCGTCCGTCTGTCCATCCATCCGTCCTGCGGCAGCCCTGCTCCGGGTGTTGACGTCAGCGCTCCCGGCAGCCGGGCGGTGGGCGGGCGGCACCGCTCCTATTGTATTAAAAATAATACAGCGGAGCACAAATTCATTACAGATAAGTGTGACAGCCAGGAGGAATTAACGAGCCCGTCTCTCAGCGCCTGACAAACGCCTCCCTTTGTTCCTGGGATGGGTCCCTGAGTCTTTCAATCTTTGGAGATGCCTCGACTCATTAAGCACATCCTCCCCCAGCAGCTCCCAGTGTGCCTGAGGACTGCTCCCAGTATGAGCTGTGACCACGCTGGCAGGGACATCCCTTCTGCCAGTGTCCAGTGCCGTTGGGCTTGCCCTCCTTGGGAGTCAGTGTCCTGGAGTGCTGTCCCCAAGCATTAGCCCCATGTGGGGTGCAGGGTGGCCAGGGGGAGGTGGGCGAAGCAGCCCCCGTCCCTGCTGCTGCGGGAAGCACGAGGCTCATGTGAGCTGAGGCCAAACGCCCCAGCACTCCAGCTGCCGGTGCCGGCGGCGCAACCGCAGCCGACGGGCTGGCAGGCACCCAACTCTGCCCTGCTGGCTGGGCTCCCATGGGAAGAGCAGCCAGGGGCTTGTCACCAGCCCTGGGCATCGCCTCCATCCTCCTGCCCCTCATACCCCTGCAGACACCCCTGCTCCTGGGACAGGAATGGCCCCATGGGACCCTCATAGTCCCAGAGCTGAGCTGCCTCTGGCCAGTGTTTGGGGTGCTTGTGCCCAGCACAGGCACTCTTTAGGACCAGCTGTTCCCTGGTATCATCCTGGGCAGTGTCACCTGCTGGGTGACTGCCTGGAGCTGCCTGAGGAGGCAGGAAGAGAAGGGACAGGGAGGGATGGGAGGGACAGGGCAGCACCGTGGCCAAATGGAGGAAGAAGCTCTCAGCACTGACAAGTCCTACAAGTTGCCTCTGTGCCGGCTCACGGGGGCAGCACAGCAGGGGTGGAGCTAGTGCAGGAGCCAGGGCCCTGGCACTGCCTTGCTCGGCTCCACGCTGGCGCCCAGGGAAAGGGCACGGGGCTGGCTGGTGCCGTCACATCGCCCACAGCATCCGCCGCCAGCAACGCCTGAGTGGCACCTGCCCATCAGCATTGTCCCCAGCTCCCACAGCCAGACAGGGACTCTGCAAGGTCACAGCCTCTGGGCAAAGCTCCCGGGCAGAGGGAAGCGGGTGCCTGAATACCTGCACCCATCCCTGCAGCACTGCCAGCCCAGCCTGCTGCCACCCATTAGCATAGGGCAGTTACTTCACTTATCCCCCCGCCCCCCCAACTATGCAGAAAATAATTATTGGTCCTTCTCATCGCACCAAGGGATTAAAAGTGGTTAACTCCATTTCCAAAGGCTTTGTTATGTTGGTTTTCCCTCAGCTGCTGCACAAGGCGATTTCCACAGTGCCACTTAGGCAGCTTTTATCAGGTTGTCTTCTGGAGGTAATTGGGTTTTTCAGGAGCCTGTTTAAAATTCGTAACCCAGCCTCTTAAACAAAACAAAAACAGCAGCGGGGAGAAGGGGAAGAGGCAGCACCAAACATGCAGCAGCTGTAGCCTCTGAAGAGCAGCCCTGGCCCCTTGGGGCTGGCACCGGGCGGGGACAGGGACAGGCACCAGCGTGCTGAAGTGTCAGTCTGGAGATGGACCCTCCAGTGCAGCAGCTGAGAACAGACTGCAGGGACAGCCCCTGCTGCCCCTGCCGTCCCTCCTGCTGGTGACACTGTGCGAGGTGAGGGGTACCCTCGCCACAGGGACCCTTATGCTGTGTTCAGGGCGAGTATGAGGTGCTTGGAGCCTCCAGCATCCAGCCCCTGGGGATGCTGGAGCGACTGCTCTGCCTCTGCAGCAAGTCACAGCCCCCTCAGCACATGTGGGTGCCCCCCCAGCACCCACTCACTTGTTATCACACCCACAGCAAACACGGGGTGTGAATGTGGCTCTCACTGTGGGGCTGGCTGGGAGCTCACCATGAGCCCTGGGGCTGGCAGGGACGAAGGTGGGCTCTTGCCATGGCTTAATCCTGGCTCCACTGTGATGCTCCTGACTGTGGGAGCTGCACTGTTGGAAAAAGACTGGGGGTGGTAGGGACCCTGTGCTGATCAGAGAGGGACAAAGCAAACGGGCCAAAGCCATCCTCACAGGACAACTTCTGCTGGCCCCATGTCCTGAGGGTCTCCCTGGTTCTAGGCTTTGCCGGCTGGCTGGGGGAGGCTCCTGCTGCCCTCCCCATACCCTGCTCTGTATGGGCACAGCACTGCACCCCTGCAGCCAGAGGGGCTTCAGGCTGACACTGCAGCTCTTCCTGCTCTCCTGCATCACCTCATGGGTCTGTCTGCATTAATACCACAGCCCCGTCGGCATCAGTGCTGCGGACCTGTCTGCATTGCTACCACAACTCCATCGCCATCCCTCAGGAAGACTTGTCTGCCCCCTCCTTGTGGGGTGGGGTTTCACCGGGCACCCCCAGCTCATCCCTGCCTGGCTCTGTGCCACGGGGCGCAGTGTGGGCTGGGGAGTGAGTGGGTGGTGGGGAGCTGCCGCAGCAGATGGTGGATGGGGCCGGATCATGGCACCGCACGCAATGAGGAACGTGCGTGTCCCTGGGGCCATTCACAGGAGCTGGCTGTGAACTGGTGCCTGCAGGGCCCCAGCACACACACACCTGCTCGTCCCAGGCATGGCAACAGCAGCGTGCGAGCCAGGAAGGCTGTGGCTGATGGAGGGATGGGGAGAGGAGAGGACCAAGCCAACAGCTTCCAGCTCTTCCCAGCATGGCTGTGTCCCAGGAGGATGCTGGAGAGAGAGGGGTGCTCCCAGTGCTGTGCTACTTCAGAGCTCCCCAAAAAGACCATCTACATCTACATCTGTGTGAGAGAGTGATGAAGGGGCTGAATCTCCCAGTGAGAGTGCCCAAGGGGACAGGGAGCCAGCTCCAGGCTCCAGCTAAGAAGCATCCACTGCTGCTGGGATATCAGCCACTGCACGGCTGAGCACCTTGGCTTTGCCACCGCTGTTCTGTGCCCTGTGACACAGAGCTCTGCTCACCCAGTCCCAGTCTCAAGGCCACTCAGAGCCCCAAGGAGTCCATGTCCCATGAGCGCTGGGTGATGCCGGGATGGACATGTGAGTGCTGGGGGATGCTGGGATGGACTCTGCTACCTGAGTGCTGCAGTGGTGACTCCTCATCCCCACAGCTCCCGACTCCCGGCGTGTGTCCGGTGCCTCTGTGCCATGCATTATTAAACAGAGGCACTGCAGCCCCTCGCTGTTTATCCTGTGCAGGGACAGGCTGTGGGAGCCGCGGTGGCTCACTGCAGTCTCAGCCAGAAGATTTAGTCTCCCTGCAGGCCTGGCCAGTTCCCCAAACAAGTTTATGACCCCTGGGCATTACTCACCTGGCAGCTTTCAACCCCCTACCACACACAGGATGGATACCACCTCCCTGTAGAAAAGCCACTATGCATTCAGCCTCAGTGCTATCACCTACGCCTTCCCCTGCCCACACAGCAGGTACAGCATTTACATCCCAATCGCCCATACAAAGGCACAATTGCGTCGAGTCCACCCCATCAATATTTATGGCAGGCACGCACACCCGAAGCTCTGCAGGGGCCAGTGCAGAGCAGAGATGGGTGCAGCACACCACACACTGCTTGGAGAGCAGACAAAAGCCCCCCTGAGCCCCTGCACTACCTCCCCACTGCCCTAGCCTGTGTACATACTGATTTCCAGCCTTGCTGCTCTGGCAGGGACATGCAGGGCCTGTGCAGGCACCGATGACCGAGGTGGTCATGATGTATGGGGAGTGGATGCCCAAGGATCCTCTTCCTGGCTCTGTGTCAGGATGGGATTTGGGTACCTGCTCCCCACAGAAAGCCTCAGAGTGGTTATACCCACCCTCATTTCCCTGACAGAAAAAAGGTGTGAAGGACAAGGGCACAATTGTCTCAAGGCTGGGCATCCAAGAAAGCCCCCACCTTGTCCACCCTCCAGCTGAAACATCCTAAAAAATGAGACCCTGGGCACTGTTCCCCTGCGGTTCAGCCTCATGCTGACATAGATTTTGGATCCTGAAAGATCTTTGGGGCTCCTGAGTCGAGGGCAGAGACTGGGGTGCTTTAGCCCCTCTCTGTACCACCAAGGCTGGAGAATGGGGGGATGAAAGAAGCAGGGATGTCATCATGGCTGGCCCTGCTCTACCCAAATTCCCAGCCTAGCCTTGGGAGAGCATCTGCCTTCTGTGGGAGAAGGGCTCATCCTAAACCCCCCATGGGAGGGGAGGTTTAGGAGATGAGATGCCCCATGCCCTGGGCAACAGAGCTGGATGAGGGGCACCACACCAGGGACACCCTGTCCTCCAACAGCAGCAGATGGCTGCACGGTGGGGGGCTCCATGGCAGCGTGGAGGGGGACATCTGGGTGCCTGGGCTCCAGCCAAGTTGCAGCTCGGTGGGAGCAGGATGAGCCTACATTCACCCCCTGACTTGGGACACTGGGACATTGGGAGGGGTGAGATCCCCACACCAGGGAGCAGTTGGGATGGGTGGGGGGACTTGCTGCCCACCCCATCTGAGACCTCCCCCAGCCTGTCTGCGCTCGGGGTTTCCGCTGTGGCGTGACGCCGGACGGGCACGGCAACGCTCCAAGAGCTGCTGGGGCTCGGGCCAGAAAATTCATTCTTGGCTGCTTTCAGTGGGGTTTGGCTCGTACCTTTCCCATCTGGGGGCTTTCAAAAGAAAAAAAAAAAGGAGAAGAAAGAAAAAAACCTCCTGTCCCTGTGCCAGCTCCACAGTCACTGTCACTTGCCATGGTCCCCAGGCGGGACTGTGCCGAGCATCTGTCCAGAATCTGAGCTGGTCTTTACTCCTGTGGTCTCTGCCTGGTCTTGAGCCGGTCCAGGTGCCTCTTGCCCTGCACTAAGGTGTCACAAGGATGCCCACGATAGACACCCCCCCTCCCATCTTGTGTGACACTACTGGCTCTGCTGAGGTGGCCCCAGGTGGTATCTCTGCACCCCTCATCCATCCCCCATAACATGGGGAGTGAGATGTTCCCACAGCCCCCCAAGAGCCACGGCACTGCCTACCTTGGTGTGTGAAGCACCAGGTGTCTGCTGCTTCGGCACCTAACGCAGGGGGACAGAGACCTCGTGGGGGTGGCTGAGCATCGCAGGGAGAGCAGGGCCTGCAGAGACACAGACAGTGAGAGGATTAGCACCATGGAGGGGCTCCAGGAATGGATGGCATTGACAAAATGGATACACTTGATGGGTGATGGACAGAGCACACCACTGCCTGCTGCCCTTTCTGCCACCTGGGGGCCCAGGGTGGGTCTGTGTACTCCCCACATCTCAACCTCCAAGGATGGGAGCAACCTGCTGCCAAGAGCCACCATCTCTCTGCAGATAGGAGCCCAGCGGGGTGTGCAGAGGGTGACAGGCTGCAGGAGGTGGCAGCTTGTCAGGGTCTTTGGTCCTGTCCTAAATCAGGGACACCCACTCTGCTGCTGGCAGAGGGCTCCTGGCTATCTCTGCAGGTACCTGGCACTTTGGATGCCTTCATTAAAAATTTAGAGAGCTCTCAACTCTTTGAGGGTTTTAAAATTTCACATTAACTCTGCCATCCTTAGCTTGCACATTTGTTCTTTGGAGAACATAATGGCAAGTTAAAACAAGCCGCCAAACAAAAGCCCTGCTCAGACTCGACAATCGAAGAAAGCCTGACGCCGCTCTGGGCTCCCCACTTCTGCTGGACCACAGGAAACTTCTGTCTGGGGATCTTGTCCCTTCCTTGAATGTCCTTGAAATCCCCCTGTGATGCCTGGGGAGATGCAGGGAGTGCTCCTGGGGGATGCTGGCCTGGGAAGGGGCTGTGCAGAGACCCGGGTACCAGGGTGTTGGGTGCCATGCTGGCAGTTTCTGGGGTGGTCTGTCCCTGTGGTGTGGCTGACTGGTGTCACCGTGATGGGTGTCATGAGTGTGATTTCTGCTCTGTGACTCGAGGAGCAGATTCCTGGGGAAGTTACACATTCATCCTAACTTCAAGCTTTTCCTCCACCAGGGGAAAGGAGGGAGGCTTTGGCAAATTGGAGATAAATATATGACCCAGGGGAGTTGGGGGAAACAAAGGCAAACACCGATGCTGTGGAAGAGCAGGGACTGGGATGGATGGAGCCTGCATTTTAAAAAGCATTACAGAATAGGGATGTCTCATTCCAACCCCAGGAGCAGGAGACACTGACAGCCCCTGGGAACAGGGTTTGGTAAGGTTGGCTATAGGAAAGAGGCAAAGGATCCCCAGTGAGACCCCCAAGGAGACCCCAGAATGGCAACTGCTTCCCTGGGAAATGCAGTGCTAAAAGCTCAGCCTGGAAAGGGCTCAGAAGCAGCATGAAGGTGACCTTTGCTGGGGACAACTGCTGCCTCCTTTGGATATAGGAAGGCTCTGGAGCGGGGTAACACGGGCTGCAGAGTGCTGCAGGGATGTGTGCCTGGGGGCGTCTAGTTTCCAGACAGCCCAGTGCCAAGGAGACAGCTGGGCTGGAACAGAATCAATTTGGCTCTGCTGGCCATGGCCCGGGGTAGCAAATCAGGAGATATTTGATGAAAACCCAGAGGGTGGAAAGAGTAGGGACCCCCTGTCCAGGTACTTGAGAGGATGTAGAGAGTCCTGGGGGATTCTGCTCCAATCCCTGTAGGGTATTTTTTATTTGAGTCAGACCAAAGTTGTTTTTTTCCTCCTTTACAATAGGCAGAGCCTCCCAGTACCACAAAGATGCATCTCACCTGGACAGCTGCACTAGCTCAATCTGTCTGTCTGTCCAAGCAACCAGACACCAACCGCAGCCAAACACAGAGGACAGGGAAGAGAAGAGCAGGGTGATGTGCCAGAACACCCCCACCTCCAGGGATAGAGGTGTCCCCAGGAGCTGGCAGGGTTGTTTTGATCTAGCTGAGGTCTGGACACAAGACAGTATCCAGGGAAAACTTAATGCTCAAGATGAGACCATTAGTGAGTCCACAGTTCTTGTGCTTTGGCACCTCCAGCTCTCGGCACCCTGCTTGAACAGCTGAGCTTGTCCAAATGTCTGGAAGGAGGGTGGGCTGGGGAAGGGGAGCAGCGGGGTGCACAGGCTGACAAACTCAGGGCATGCATCTCAAAGCACTTCCACTGCCTAAGGGAGATGCTCTTGGGACCTGTCTTGGATCTGGCATCAGCTTTGTGTCTGAGCACCAGGTGAGAAGGAAGGCTCAGACTCACGATGCTTGGGGAAAGTATCTGCCAGCAGTGCACTGTCCCGGCCCTCACACAGGGATGCAAAGGGATTGGGGTGTCACACTGCACTGGGCAGCCCCCAGAGCCCCCAGCTGGGGTCCTGTACCTGAGCTGACCTGTCTTGCCTTCAAAAAGCAGATCCTTAGCCTCAAACACCTCAATGCCTCTTGCACACTTCATCTTGCCACAGGACAGGGCAGGTCTGGGTCACATTGTCATGGGGCTCTGGGATTTGACGGGGACGAATAATGTTTCTGAGCCTCTGGTGAGTGTCACAGCAGGAGCTGGTGACACCAGCTAGGGAGGGATGGACATGATGGCCTGGCTGTGCACAGGAGGAGCAGGGACCTGTAGTGCAGAACAACACTGTAAAAGTGACAGTGGCTCCTGGTGAAGTACTGGGTGACCTAGTGAGACACTGGTGCCTGGGGGCACAGCTTGGAGAGCCCACAGCTGAATGAGGAAGATGGTCTGGGTCTCTGCAGCCAGGAAGGCTCCATGGGACCTGGAGAGGCGGAGAGGAAAGCTCCTGGGACGAGTGAGCAGAGAGCGCTCACGCGAGAGCAGCCCGCAGGAGCACAGCTTGTTTACCCTGGCTGAGCAGGCCTGATTGCTCTCTATAAATACACCCGGCGAGTAAACACCGGGGAGGGAGAAGGATCATTTAAACTCGAGGATGATTCTGGCATAAGAACAAATGGGAAGGTCTGGCCAGGAACACACAGAGGCTGCGGGTGAGAGCAGAGATCCTCTGGCTGCTGGGAAGGTCCTGTTTTGGGTCCAGCCCTGGCTGTTGGGGCAGTGCATGATGCCCGAGGGCTTGAGCTCAGTGCTGGTGGAAGAGGCAGCAGCCTGGGCTGCAGTGACCATGCCCACCTGCCATACCAGACCTCTCAAGCTCTGGGCCATGGGGGCACAGTGGTGCTCAGTGGCAAAAATAGAGATGTGCCACACTGCCAGTGGTCACTGTCTCTTCCCCAGAGGGTTTTCCCACAGTACCAGACCTGCCCTGGGACCTCTTGGTGCTGGTGCTTAAACCATTCCGAGCAACTCAACGGGGCTCCCCTTGGCTCCTGATACAGCTCCTCACAATCAGCTCCAGGCCCGGTGGGCTGTGCCTGGCAGCAGCCTCTGCAGAAACCCAGGGAAGAGCCAAGGTGTAAACCGCAATCATCCTCCAGTGCTGTGAGGTGTTTTGAGCTCTGTCTGGTTGGGGTCATTTCAATACTAATGTCATCATGCAAGGCAATTGAAGAAACACACACTCGGCCCCCAGCCAAGGGAGACTTTGAGACATTTTTCTGTGCCAATTTGTCTCAGCTGATCTGTCTCCAGTTTCCCCAGGACAGTGAGGGTCAGACACCAGGAGCAGTGTTGCTGGATGGGGACTGAGCTCCCTGTTTCCATGCTGGAGCTTGTCGTGGCAGCCTCAGGTAGACAAGGACAGGTTTGGCAGGGAGGACACTCCTCTGCATCCTGAGTCCATGGCCCTTCCTCATCCTCTATTTGCCCAACCTAGCACCTCAGTTTGACTTGAATCACTCTGCTTCCTTTGCCAGCTCCAGTTCCTTAACCAGTCAACAATTCCTTCACCAGCCCCAGCCAGCAGCTGCCACTGATAGTTGCACAGAGAAGCCCTGAGCCATGAGCCCTGTTCTGAGTGAAGGTGCCAGCCTTGCTTTGCCACTCTGACTCACCACTCTGCCTGCCTCGGGCAGCAGCTGCCCGGTCACGCTCGTGCCATGCGGGCAGCAGTGCCACCCTCTGCTGCCAGGCCTGGATCACGGCAGCCACCTGCCCGTGTGCTGCAGCCTCAGCGATGGGGGCACAGCAGGGAGAGGGGCTGGAGCATGGGGTTTGGGAGGCACCTCGTAGGGACAGTGCAGAGGGAAGAGTGGTTTAATCCCAGGGGACTGGGGAGAGGAAGGTGAAATGCTCCACGAGTGGCTGGACTCAGCTGCTGAGAACAGGATGGAGGAGGGAGCCAGTGCTGGGGAGGCATGGGAAGAGCCTGGCAGGTACCAGGAGCTCCCCAGAGCAGAAGGGTGCACGGAGCCTCCCGGGTGCAGACAGGGGATGGCGGGGGGAGCAGGTCTCCTCCTCTCCCTGCCTACTCCCCACTCTGGGCCTGCCGGATGATGGCCAGGCACGAAGGGGCTAGAGGGGGTGTGCAAAGCACAGTCCGAGGGTGACAGACTTTCTGCTCCCAACCCCTCCACACCGGCGCGTCCCCCCTCCCCAGATCTGCGGGCGGGCAGTCCGGGGGCGCGCCGCTCAGCCCCGCATCTTGCACCCGCATCACCTGCATCCTTTCCCCCATCCCGCATCACCTGCATCCCTCCCCGCATCCCGCCCCGCATGGGCCCGCATTCCGCCGTCTCGCGGCCGCCCGCCCGTTTTTACATAAGCCGGCGGCCCCGGGGGCTCGTCGGGCCGATCCCCGCGCCCGTGCCCGGCCCCCCCCCGGGCTCTGCCTGCACGGCGGCCCGCCCGGCCGGCCCCACCCACACTGGCTGCTCGCGCGGGCGTCCCGTGCGCCCCGGCCCGCCCCCGTCGCAGGAATGGAAGCCTGCCGCCGGAAGGGAGCGAGCGTACGCGTTACAGGGCCCGGCTGCTGGCTTCCCCCTCCGCCGCACGGCCTCCCGGCGGGGCCCCTCCCGTGGTCCCGCCTCCGGACCGCCCCGCGCCCCGGCGGCAGCCCCCGGCCCAGCCTTCCGCCCCGGTACCCGGCGGTCCCTTGCGGTACTCGGCGGTTCCCCTCCGGTACCCGGTAATTGCTCCTCCGGTATCGAGGTGTCCCCCCGCTATTCAACCATCTCCCCCTGCCACCTGGCTATGCCCACCCGCGCCCAGCATCACCCCCCAGCATGTAACATCCCTCCCAGTACTGCCTGTGCCTGCAGTTGCACCTCCAGTGCCCATAACAGCC